AAATTTATTAAGAGAAATACGAACTATTTCGGATTATTTTAGCTGTGATACAGGCTGTGTAAAAAACTATTAAGGAATAAAGTATTTGCAGACCTTCAATACCGCAAACCCAGAAAAGACTGGGTTCTAGCCACAGAGTCTTACTAAAAATAGTACAGCAACTGCAACAATTGTCTAAACAAGGGCGGATACAGGGGGCAAAGGGGGGCTGAAGCCCCTCCTTCAGCAGAAAAAAAACGATGCTTTATTATATTGTTTTCCGTTGTGTTGACGGAAGAAACTCAATTAGCCCCCCCCCCCCCCCCCCCCTAATATTTTGCCTCGATCCGCCCTTGCTAAACCTACTGAAACAGACAAGATAAAACTTTTCTAATTGATGAAAAATGATATAAAAGCAAGAAAAAAAGAACAAAGATAGCTGTGAGTGAGTTGGCAGCGCGTGGACTGAATACTAAAGTATATGTTGCGCGAAAGGTTGCTCCCGTGTATCATGTCGAAAAGAATCGACACACCAATTGGCACAATAACGTTGCACGAAAAGATGATGTTAGGTTTTTTTAACGCTATGTGATAATGACCGCTGTTTTAGTTGATTGCAGATGCATGCGCCGTAAAACTATAACTGAGAACCAATATTTTGTTTGGAGGGGGAAGGGGGAAGGCGGCCCACCCAAAACATTTCGTGGTTCCGCCGCCCCTGGCGTATACCTCAGTGTATGCCCATGTATGACAACAGCGCCCTCACGGGCGATATGGCATTCGACATGAAGCGGCAGGGAGCCCATTCAGATGACGACGGCTGACGAAAATATAATCTTAAAAAAGTTATCATTGAAGCAAATGGGYTAGATGCTAAGAAAACTGTGTTTAGAAGAAGAAGATCAAATAGAACTATAATTCTACATAGTACGATAAATGAGTTATCTTTTTTTCATTTTGATTTTATCGGGTTCGCTGTGGCTGCAATGCAATAGCGCAGGCTCTGGTAACGAGAATGTTGACCCTCGACCGACGCGACCCCCAACAAAAACTTCAACTCGTAAGTCATAAATATTTACTAGTCTTTTATTTGTTCTCGCTCAAGTTATCAAAATATCATACCTGCAATTCGAATTATTAACTTCGATTACTAAAACATTTTTTATATACGAAGCTAATCATAAGAGACTCGGAGAAACTTCAAAACATAGGATCGATTTTTGAAGACGAAGAAAGAATTCCTGACGAAGCCTTCTGATGAACGAGCGCGTGGACAGAAAGATTTCAAGAAAAAAACAAGACTTTTACAACTGATTTTTTGTCATTAAGGCGTGGATTGTAAAGAACRGAGGGTAAAGGAGTCCTCTCTAAAGTTTTTGGTTGATTTTAAGCGGTTAAAGACTTGTAAATTGTCTCTAAAGATGGACGGTCAGTACGGCTCGGGAAGCTGTTATGGAATGCCTGCCCCAACTATTCCAACCCCACCTGGTCTGGAAGCTATTTACTCGACATTACGAAAACTATATCCTGACCAACCGAATCCTTTACAAGTCACGGCTCTCGTCAAATGTTGGTAAGTACATTGGTTTCTGGGATTTCGCCTTCAAAATACTAATTTCTAAAGGGGTTTTTTGATCAACTTTTTACCATCACCAACAATGCGGCCTGCAAAGCCTTCATTTCATGATTACAAATAGTATCTAGCAATATAGTATRTATCCTTATACAGTTTTACAGTAGTTTTTCTTGTGGCTTACTGGTTTGTGACTTAACTATAGCTACTACATAGAACTTTAATTTTTCCATAATTTCCTTGAAGTGACTGTGAAACCCATCGACTCTCTCAGTGGGCATTATTCAAATTATAGGTCAAAGGGCAAATACATTAATACTCCAATTTCGAGTTTGCTTTTGCTCGGTCTTTGTCTCGAGGACCGTGGACAAACCTAAGAAGTGTGGCACGCTCATCGGCCATAATTCATATGCGCATGCACACGCTTGTTTGTCACTTTGTGCCTCATGCAGAGATATTAGGATTTGAAAGACAAAAATTATTTCTCTCTTTGTTATTTATTTAATTCACTTGTGTTAAAAATACTAAAACTATTATCATAGGCTCTTTGAATATCGGGGAATTTTTACGCTCGAAGACTTGTGTCTTGGTAAATACTCCCCAATATTCACTTTCCCTTAGGCGAATAATTGATAAATAATTTAGATGAAGCAGGGGTGGATCATTAATAAAGGAATAAATAATACTCAATGTATAACACAAGGACATTAGTTCAATCCTGGGTTTATGGGTTTAACATTGAACCACCTATATGACCTGAGTTTGTTTGATGTGTTGTTCTATCCATTATCCCAACAATTTTTCTCTGGTACTCCGGTTTTCCTCGCTTCATAAAAAATCAACATGTGAGTTGAGTGTTGYTTGTTGTAAATAGTAAAAAAAATTAAGTGGTAGTGTGTGGAGCAAACCTCACAGAAGACTCCCTTACATATGGGGAATGCATGATGGCTGTAAACATACATATGGTAGCCATAGTGTTTGTCTTTTTATTTTCATGAGATAGGATGCATGTGAGCTAGAAGAGCTGATATAGCTAGAGTACATGTTAAGTATTTTGCTAATCAACCAAATTCTTTTAGGCTTGGAGGRCCAGATCCACTAGATTTTATCAGTATGTTTGGTAATCCTGGTAGCCCAATGGAAGGAATCCCACCTCATTGGCATTATGTCTCCTCTGGGCTGTCGGATCTCCATGGAGATGGAAGGGTCCATAAGTAAGTGCCATATTACATCCATTATACTGAAACAAACTGTATTCAGCAGATTGAAAGTGAATAAATGATCAGTCCAGTATTCAAAACATAAAATTAGTGCCATTTGGCATGCTGTCAATGGCTTAATGTGTGAATGTGACCACCTATTCTCTTCAAAAGGTAACTCTTGCTTTATTCTCTTCTTTCACAACCCATATTACTTTTTGGTTCTGAGGGTTAACCACAGAATAAAACTGCACTTATTTTGCTGAAGGCTTATCAGACAATGTTATTTTAAGCCCTGTCCCATTTAACCAGATTTCAGATTTTAGTGGGATTGGGGTCCCACAGGTGCTGTACACAGGACTTTGAAAAAAAACTAAAGTAGGAGTTACATACATGTGTATGTGCTATTAGGCTACGTGTATTCTCATTTTCTCACAATGAGTATCTTTCATAAACTGACATTACAAGTCTCAGTTTGATTTGTCTCTGATCCCTCTAGTATGACTGGAGGATGTCATTTCTCATATATATATTCTGTGTTATGGTATGTAGGTATACAGGGATGGATGGGCCAAGTGGTTATGGGTTTGAGTTAACATTCAGGTTGAAAAAACAGCCAGGAGAGACAGCTCCTCCTGCTTGGCCTGCAGAATTACTACAGCAACTGGCTCGATATGTCTTCCAAACAGGTACAAAGATCTCAAATACAACTAACATGTGGCTACATAGGAGACTAGCCATCAGGATTCAGACTTCTATAAATTTAAAATAATAAAATGTATAGAAATATAGACCATCAACTGCAAATTCACTCCCTAACATTGGACATGTTTCCAACTCAGTTTGGAACTAGTTTTGCTCAAAAACTACCCTACAACTAAATATAGTTTTATATGCATGCATACAATCTTGAGGCATTGAAGAATATATTGATCAATAGACCTCTTTAGCCTGGTCATAATGTTCTACCATTTCAGACCATGTGTCATTCCCTTGATTATCATTTCTTTGTTTAATGGTTATGTATGAGAAGATGCATGAATATGGATACAACTCATGGAACAAAGAATATTATTATTATTTCAATAAAATGACCTGTAGACAAATTGGGAAAACATTGATCCCAAGTTAAAACAGTCTATTACCAGTAAATTATTTGTAGGTAACTGATATGCATATGATGTGTAACCTACATAGCAGCCTTCTGGTGTCAGGGAATAATTGGGTCAAGGCTACCTGATGTACACATGTAGTTGTCCCACCCATAGAGTGCCGTAAAAATTGCATCTGGCTTAATGATCTATTTACATGTAGCTGTGAATTGCATAGTTATGTTTTATAATCCTAAGGTTCTTACATTTGAGAAAGAAGATTGATGACCAGACTGACTGTCTATTGCTTTCCAGAGAATATGCTTTATCCCGTGGATCATATATCTTGGCATGCACCATTAGACTACACTCCATCCAGAGTGGGCAGATACACCCATGGACCAAATACTTCACAGATCCAGCACATGCTATTGTGTGAAGACCCTCAAATCAAACCTATCAACACTCAACTGGGCAGAGTAGAGTTTATACAGGTAATTGGAGTGCATTTGTGTGATTATGAGTACATGGTGATTACTCTATAGCAACTGAAATTGAGCTGAGTGCTGAGACTGACTGACCCACTGACTGACTGACCCACTAAATGACCCACTGACCCACTGACTGACCCACTGACTGACTGACTCACTAACTCAACCAAAATACTTTTTTCACATTTGTAAATGAAATAACTGATATGCAATCATTCCCAAGAGGGTGAAATAACCCACTGACTGACCCGCTGACTGACTGACTGACTGACTGACTGACTGACTGACCCACTGACTGACCGACCCAATTTCCATTGATTTTCCGCTTTCAGGTCATTGGTATTATGGCAGAAGAGCTTCAAGCAGCACAACACTGGCACTGCAAGGCAATCCTGGATATCCTTCATAAAGTACCTCCGTGAGTAACAAAAATAACTGCATGCTTTCTTTATTTCAATTGATAAATTATTATATAAAATAAGGTTTCATGTAGTAAATTTTTCAACTTTCTGGATTTTTCAGTGCTGGTGGCCCATGGCTTGTGACAGACATGGATAGAGTGGAATCGGTGTTTGAAATCCAGCCTCATTTGCAGGTAGCAAGATATATCCAATCATGCAAATAATTATGCACAGAATAATTCTGGTTGAAATAGCATATCCAATGGATGAATACAATGGAGTCCCATTATCTTTAGCCTCCTGGGAATTATGGAAGAATTTAGAATAGTGGGGGAGGGGAGGCCCAAAATTTCCAGGGGGAAATTATTAGCAAAGATACAGTAGTGCGAGTCCACAAGACCCGGACCAAGAACCTYGTTTCCAGCCTTCAATGAAAGGCCAGCACTAGCCTCGATTCCCAATCATCCATGTAATTTTCTATAGAAAACTTGGCATTCATCTTGACGTAAAAATTCCACACAGGACCAGAAATAGATAGGCACCTTGGCAACATTTCATCTAGTTTTCCTTTTCACAATTTTGTTGAGCATAACGAGAAAAGGTCGTCATAATGTTCRATACTACTGTCTCTTATTTTCCTGTTTCTTCCCATTTCTTATTAAAGATTTCAAATACATTTCTTATTAAATTCTTCTCTTACAGCTGTAGGTTCCTTTTTTAATAAAGAAATAAATAATATTGATTGTTTGTGTTGCTCAAATAGGAGTCTGTCTCTCTTGGCATAGAGAAAGAAGGTTCAAGTCTCAGTGGAGTAGCAGCCAAGTGCTGGTGGGAGGCATACGCACCTGATCGATCTTTTCCAAGACCTTCCTCAGAAAACCCAAATTTTGGTAGAAACATTAGCCCCCAAGGAACGAAGGACCTAGGAACACGGTTCAAGGTCCTTCCTGCCATTGGAGGAGGAGGGGGGTCCAAATTTAAGGTCGATTCTCATGGACGACTTAAAGATTCATCTTATGATAGAGAGTCATCTTGTGCAAGTGCTGTTAGTGAGATTGTGAGGACAAGAACTTTGTGTGGTGTTCACCTAAGGTTCGGTTATGAAGCTGCTATGTTGTTAACCCTCGCTATTAGGTATGGGATCATTGGAGTAATCATGAAATATTACCGTCGATCAGAATCATTATTATTATTATCACCATCATCATCTACATTCATGTTCGTTTCTATCAGCATCATTAACACCATCAAAAAAACCTTCACCATGATCAGCATCACCATAATCTTCATCTTTGCCATAACATCATCACCACCACCATCGTTTTCACTGTTGTCATCTTCATCTTCATCTTCATCTTCATCTTCATCTTCATCATTATTGCATCCACCAGTATCACCATCCCCACCAGCATCATCTTCATTTGTAATCATTATGATCGCCGTTATTAGTACCTTCATCACATTAGTCCCTCATCTTCAGTTAAGTATCATTTCTCAATTCCCCCGTTTTAATTTTTTTTTCTTTGTAGGGGCCGGCTTCGCCATGGCCGTCACTTCACGTTTACTAGTTCAACGTCTGACACAGCCATTACCTTTGTAACCACTAATATAACAGGGTCTATAGCAGACAGGGAACATCAGTATGCAGCATGTGGGACATGGCTACAGGTTAGTCAGGCTCTGAATATCTTTGTAACCACTAATATAGCAGGGTCTAAAGCAGACAGGGAACATTAGACAAAA